ATGCCCCAACCCCTTCCTGAGGACATCATCGGAGCGCCCACCAGACATCCTCCTGGCCCAGCCTCTGCATGGGCTGAGCTGGAAGAGATGTGGGAGAGCTGTGCAACGGCTCTTCTGACGCCCCTTCTGCCCGCTCTGGAAGGAGCGCTATTTTAGTGCTCCTTCCAGGGCCAGCAGAAGGGTGGATTGGGGTCAAGGCACGGGGCAGCCTCGGCCTCAATCCTGCACGGCTGCCTGTCTGCAAAGGCCCTGTGTGTGAAAGGGGTCTAGGAGTCCTAGTAGACCACAAGTTGAACATGAGTCAACAGTGTGATGCAGCAGCTAAAAAGGCCAGTGTGATTATAGGCTGCATCAATAGATGTATAGTATCTAGATCAAGGGAAGTAATAGTGCCACTGTATTTTGCTCTGGTCAGGCCCACCTGGAATATATTGTCCAGTTCTGGGCACCACAATTAAAAAGGATGTTGAGATGCTGGAGCATGTCCAGAGAAGGGTGACTAAAATGGTGAAGGGTCTGGAAACCATGCCCTATGAAGAGAAACTTAGGGAACTGGGTATGTTTAGCCTGGAGAAGAGATGGTTAAGAGGGGATATGATAGCCCTGTTTAAATATTTGAAGGGATGTCATATTGAGGAGGGTGCTAGATTGTTTTCTGCTGCTCCAGAGAACAGGACCCAGAACAATGGATTCAAACTACAGGAAAAGAGATTCCACCTCAACATTAGGAGGAACTTCCTGACAGTGAGAACTGTTTGATAGTGGAACACACTCCCTCGAAGTGTGGTGGAGTTTCCGTCTTTGGAGGTCTTTAAATAGAGGGATGTCAGGGATGTTTTGATTTTGAGTTCTTGCATGGCAAGAGGTTGGACTGGATGGCCCTTGGGGTCTCTTCCAACTCTATGATTCTATGATTCTATGAAGTAACTTTTAAAAATGCAGTTTAAGGCTGTTTTACCCTGTTGCAGAATATGCTGAACATCATCTGGACTACTCATATTAGAACCAGGGTTTTGGGACATGAATCATCTGAACAGGACAATTCCAGTATGGTGAGGGGGGGGGGCATGGATCCTTTGGCCCATGCAGATAAGGTCTAAGGTGGCATCTGCACTGCAGAAACAATGCAATTTGATGTGGCTGGTACCAGAGAAGGATATATATCTCACAAAACTACAAATTCCAGAATTCCATAGCATTGAGCCACGACAGTTAAGGAGATGTCAAACTGCATTATTTCCGTCGTGCCGATGCAGCCTGAATCACACTCCAGAACAGATTTCAGGTTAAATTTTGCTTTTGAGAAGTGATCTCACATTTGGGGGTTTTGTTGGCAGAATTTCCAGGTGAAGGACTAAGACGGTAACCATTAGTAAAGTGGACCATGGTGTAGTCATGTAACTGCTGCAGGTACCAGTCTTGCTCCACCTTAAGGTGCCACAATAGCCTGGCTAAAATTCATTTTAGAGGGGTCTTAATAGATGTTACTGAGCTGGCTCCCACATCTCTTGTCGCAAGTGGACCAACGATGCTGGGATGTGGCAGTGGAGATAAATCCTCCCAGTCTTCTAAGCATGCAATCCAATGATGGTAGTTGTCTTGCACCCTAAAATCTTCTATCTCTTGACCTTTAGGAAAATCTCCACAATCACCTTTCTGAGGTTGTTTCCCAAGGAAGTTCTTCAAGGTTCTACAAAACCTTCTTTTAGTACTTGGGACTTTTTTTTTTTTGGGTTGTCAAACCTCTTTTGCCCTTCCATAGAGTCTTACGGTTCACAGCTGGACCAGTATAAGACATCACTTTGCTGAACAACATATCCTGAAGTCAAGTAATTTGGTTTGAACACTTTGAGCTCTGTAAAAGATTCAGTGAATAGATATTTGTTTATATATATTTGTTTTGGCTGGAAATGGTGTCCAACAGGGATGAAAGTGTGTATTTTTTTAATGGAACCACACATCCTGAGCAATGTGATTTGACAAACTAAATTACCACCTCCTCAAGCCATAATCTCTAATGCAAGCCATTCTGTCTTGTTGAGGAATGCTGCATGTTTCATACAACAGATATCTTAACTCTCCTTGTGGCCCTGTTGATGCAGCTATAGCCCTTGCCCACACAGTCTGCCTTGCATTTTCAAAGGCAAGTTTTGTTTCTTGGTGTGCGTGTGTTTTTGCAAAATTCTTTGCAAACAACTAAATTCAGCATTGACCTCAAGTATAGTCAGGATGGAGGGAATTGCAAAAAAGCAGATGTAGCAATGATTAAAATTTCCTTTTGGTATGGGGAAGAGTGGAAAGCATCCCATGGAGGTTTGGTTGTACTGGCTCTCCCACATTAGTTTCCAAAACAACAAAACTTAAATTAGGCTGTCTCATGGGGGGCATTTTAAAGGATGTGAGCAATAATACAAAATATCGGAAATGGAGGAAAGTGCAATATTGCTTTGCACCAAGGGCTATGTACAAAAAGGAAGGAGAAGTGGCAGAGAGTTTCCCTCTTCTCTTGCATCTTCCGTCTCCCCATTACCTATAGATGGATATTTTGGGGGATGACTTTGTGATGTTATGGGTTTTTGGTGTAAAATGTTTTTTCAAATATTATATATGGAGGTAATTTGGTTCTGTATATTCTGGCTAAAAGAGGTAATCAGGCAGGGAGGTTGAGCGAGGAGGTGAGCAAATGGTGAGAATGAGTAGTGATTGGCAAAATGCTTCAATAAATCTGGTTTGTTGGGTGGAATGGGCAGTGAATGAGTGAAGTTTGTGTTGAGGGGAATCATTTAGCCAGTATTAGCAATTATTTAGGAATTATTCTCGAGATGCGGTGGTTTAGAGGTTAAGATGCCAATTCTGAAGATCGTAAAGTCAGAAGGTTGGCAGTTCAAGGCCTAAATGTCTCATGACGGAGTGAACTCCCATCACTAGTCTCAGCTTCTGCCAACCTAGCAGTTCAAAAGCATGCAAATGCAAGTAGATGCCACTTTTCAGTGGGAAGGTAATAGTGTTTGGTGCAATCATGCTGGCCACATGACCACCAGAGTCATCTTTGACAACGCTGACTCTTTAGCTTAGTAATGGAGATGAGCACCGCCCTACAGTTGGTTATGACTAGACATTCATGAGAAGGGGAAACCTTTACCTTTTCCTTTAGGAATTATTCAGTGAGATTTTAGAGTCTGAGGGTGTGCCTACACCAGGGGTAGGCAACCTTTCCCCTTTAAGGGCAGAGGGACTTCAGCTCCCAGAATCCCAGGAGCTATTGGCCAACATGGGACTATTGGCCAACATGACTGAGGCTTCTGGGAGCTGAAGTCCCTCGGCCCTTAAAGGGGAAAGGTTGCCTATCACTGGCCTACACTGACAGGAAAATCCAGTTTACTTTCAAGTTACCTCTAACTTATTATTATTAAAGTTTATTTCTAGAGCGCTGTCAGTGTAACTGAGAGAACCAAGCATGCCCTTTTGGCCACTGCCCCCCAGCATGCCCCCCACACTGGGTGACACCAGGGGTGGGGATGCCACTGACCCCAGGCTTTTTTACACACATCAAGGTGAACTGAACTCGCCCTGGTCCAATAAATTGCACTATGGGCACCTACACAGCTGTGGTCACTCTGCTTTTCCTCTTCGCCCCATACATGCAAATATATGTATTTCTGAACCTGTCTCCTAGCCTCACATCAATGTTGCTATGGTGTGCAACCCACCAACACACACACATACAAATATCCAGATTTTCCTCTCGAAACTGGGATAAATTCCCACTCCATTGCCATGAGGCAATGAAAAAGACAAGATTGGGTCCCAACCATTCCGTATATTCTTTGGACAGCTTGCTGGGAAAACTGGACCATTATGAAAGGGTAACTTCCATGGAGTAGTGAATTCACTCTGGATTTTAATCCAGACTTTTAAGTCATTGTCCAAGCTGTTGCACCTAGAATCATAGAATTAATAGAATCATAGAATCATAGAGTTGGAAGAGACCACAAGGGC